TAACTGATACAATTGATCATACTCTGTTACACTAGATCATAACTTTATGCTGTTATGATCCAAATATGTAGCTTGATAGCTAACTCAGGGCAGAATAACACAGACTTCTATATTGGAGAGAGGTTCCATGCTTTTTTGGTGCATTACAAAGTACGATAATATAGATGAAAATGACAAAGACCCATATTTCCCAAAATGTCTATATGTAAATTTGCAACAATAATGTTACATTAATGTAGGTTTTGCATTTAAAAGAGAATTTAACTTTGATCTATAACAGACAAATTGACAAATTACATTAAGACATTAAATCTGTAAGTTATTGTTTAAAAACAGTTCACTTGTTTTGAGCAAAGAAAACCGTCCAGTCTTTGATACATGTTCTTACAAACATAAAAATAAAATTTCTTTCCTCAACTGTCCTTTTTCATTTCATACATATTAATCTTTCCATCTATTTTAAACAATCATGAAATTAATAGGAACCGGATTTTTTGTTTTGTTTTGCTTTTTGAGACAGTCTCATTCTGCTGCCAGTCTGGAGTGCAGTGGTGCAATCTCGGCTCACTGCAACCTCTGCCTCCCTGGTTCAGGCAATTCTCTTGCCTCAGGTTCCCGAGTAGCTGGGACTACAGGCACGTGCCACTATGCCCAGCTAATTTTTTTGTATTTTAGTAGAGACGGGGTTTCACTATACTGGCCAGGATGGTCTTGATCTCCTGACTTGTGATCAGCCCACCCTGGCCTCCCAAAGTGCTGGGACTACAGGCGTGAGCCACTGTGCATGGCCAGAAACTGTTTTTAATAAATCCAAATCATAGATCTTTCATGTCAAACTATTTTGGGGAATTCTGAGGTGAAAAAGCTGCTTAAGTATTAGGAAAAACTAAGAACAACAAGAAACAGCTTTATAACAGAAACTGAAGGACGATGAAGAACTAAGAAGCAACCTGTGGAAAGGCCTTTCCGGGCTGGGTTGGGTACTCCAATGAGGAGCATTCTGAAGTGGGGTGGGACCAAGGGCAGAGCCCAGGCAAAATAAAACGGAAGGGAGAAACAACATCAAGGACTATTGAACCAACACGCTAGCTGTGAATCAATCAAAAAAACATATGTGGTGAAGTAAGTCAGGCCTGCATGTGAATTCTAACAGCCTTTTTAACATGTGACACTAGGCAAAAGTTTTTAATATTTTTCGAAACTTCATAATTTATAAAATGGGCCTCAGGGGCTGGGCACTATGGTTCACACCTGTAATCGCAGCATTTTGGGAGGCCAAGACAAGAGATTGCTTGAGCCCTATGAACTGATTGTGCCACTGCACTCCAGCCTTGGCAATGGAGTGACACCCCATCTCCAAATAATCAATAATAAAATAAAACAGGCCATGATATTTATTGATTTGAATTGCAGAAAAGACTCAATGATACAATATCATGTGCTCCCCAGCACACAGTCCAGCACTGTGAGTGCTGAAGAAATAAATACCCCCAAGCACCACCACCAGCCCACCAGACACAAAGCAGCTGCACAGAGGGAAGCACACTAGCAGGCCCCTTCACAGGCAGGCTGGGTAGCCCTGAAAATCACACCAAATTTTCTTCATAATTTACATTTATTTTGGAAGTGTTTATGATCTTAGTTATTTTGTAAACCAGTAACCTCAATATTTTTTTAAAAAATTCGTTGTCAAGGAAAAAATAAAGCCATTTCAAAGCATGTTTTCCATCACACCAACCAACCACAAACCCATGTTACACCTGTACCATGGGAAATACTACTTGATAGTATTAAATAAGTTATTAGGATAATTAAAACTGGATAAAAATACTAAAAACGGCTGTTTTGGAATGCACTACATTTTTCTGGCTGTTTGGTATATGTATTATTATTTTTTAAGATACAAATGACCATGTCTGTTTACATAATAAATTTTCTATCATATTAGATGAAACTATAACTTTCCAGGATTGTCAGAGAACACAACTTGTGAGACATCTATCTACTTTACAAACAGTTTTTTAAACTAAAAAAGTCTTCAATTACTATGAATACCATTGTGTTTGAAAAGATTTTAGCATCTTATAACTTATTTAATTCAACGCTTTACTGGTCACTACTGATATAACTCTGATGCTTTCGGATTTAAGAAAGAAGTTTGTAGAACAACTGTGCCACACACAGCATAATGTTCAAACGCCCATGAACCACAAACTGCGTCATGCAGACAAGTGCGCCACCCAGAGGCAAAAGGAAGAAACCCACCTAGGATTTTATTTATGAGACAAAACTGACAGTTTTAAACAATTATTTACAATTATGCATTTAAAAACACAGGACATCTTTCATAAGGTTCTCTCTGCATAAATAAATCCTTTTAGTGGTAGGATACATAAAAGTGTGGCCCTTTGAGAATTCTCACAAAACAGAAAGAAGCCCTGAAATGGTACCATTCACAGGTACCCACTTTGTTAATTAAAAAATTGAATTTAACTGTGTTCTCTAGAGTAAATGCTTTCTTTTCTGTTATAATTAATATAACATGTGTTTCCAAAAATTACATAAGTTCTTGAACAACCACTATGATCTATTTAGACATGTGAACCAAAAGTTAAACTAATTACCAGAGACATTTCTTACTTAAATGAAAAAAGTTTCTTTCATTAGGTCTTCTGCTTAATTTTCTTCTGGCAAAGGAATAAAGTTTACTTAGAGTAATTCTGTCTGGCAGACAGTCAGGGCTTCTAAAATACATACAAATAATTGTTAAGGTTAAAGAAAACAGTCAACTCTATTAAACTCACATAAAAATTCAAGCTTCTCATAGCCTAAACAATAGGCTGATTTTAATATAGAGATTTATGATATCCTCATTTTGTCTTAGAAGTCTGAATGTTAGGATTAATGTTAGCATTGGGCCATCTTTTAAGATTTATGTATTTCACTATGAACTACAAAAGATAATGGGCCTTAATTAAAAACATAATATGCATTAAAATGTAAAAACAATTTTAAGCACAAAATTTGAAAATTCTTTTGTCTTTACTGTAAAATCATATTTCTTAAAATGATATGTAAAACAATTTTTTTCAGGTTCTCTAATGCTATATAATATACTCTTATTTCATCTCATTTTATTGTTTCATTTCTACACCAACACACCTTAGAAGAGAAAGATAATTTGAAACTCACCTATCTACATGACTTTCTAAAAAACTCATTCTAAGGAACATTGTTTACTGCTAACTTACTTGTTTTTATAAAATGAGAAGGATCTATAGTTGATGATTATTTCCAAATAAATGTTTTTTCCTGTAAAATATTAGCAAAAGGCTTCTTTAAAGTAGAATATTGTTAAGTAAACCTTCCTCTTTTGCTTCTTTCATTGAAGGAGTTCATTATCATCTGTGAGAGTTCTCTTTTCTACACCCCATAATACTCCATACACCCTGAGTAAAAGATGCTTACGCTTGCAATGATGGTTGTAAAATATTTGAGCAAGGAGTACAAACAATTCTACTCTATGTCCCCATTTCTATATTTTTCTAGGAAATAAATGAGATTATGTGTCTAAGCCAGCCTGCTACACAGATGTCCTCTATACACTGCTAAAATTACAATGAATGACAGACTACTGCCTAGGATGGTATGGTTATTATTTAATATAAGAGTTCAATGATTTTTAAAGCTCAAAGTAAGTACTGGGAAATACACATTGCAAACTCTTTAAATAGGGCTCGAAAGTTAAAAAGGTTTAAATGCATTCTAAAGCAACACAAAAAGCTTGGGATGTAAGCTAGGGATGCATTCTAGCTTACATCCCAATAAACAAGCTTTTTTTGTTGCTTTAGACAAACAAGTTTTTTTTGGTGCTTTAGACTGCATCCCTAGCTTACTTCTTACATATAAGCTAGGGATATCAAAAGGTCTGTGAATCCACATCAGACCTTAAAAGAATAAAAGAAATGCAGAAAGGACAGCTACTTGATAGTTAATAAATGATTCAAGTTCATTAATAAGTATTTACAATTTAAAGGGTAAATTCTGAAACACTCCCTATACCTCTAGTTGGTTAAGAAAACCTAGTGATAAAATGAAATGCCTTAAAATTTCTTGAATCTTTTCTATTCCTTTCTTTCCATCCCCAATGCTACCAGCTTAGTTCTTATCATTTTTAAAGATCTGTATTAGTTTAAATACTTCCTAATTGTTCTCAGTCTACAGGCCAATCTCCCATTCTATCCTACCATCACATTTTCAAAACCATCTTCCAAATGCAGTCCAGAATAATCTCTGTGAAGCATAAATCAATCACATCACTTACCTGCCTGGTATCCCAAATCAATTTAAGAATCCATGTGTCCCTATCCATAACCTCCCTCAACTGGCAGAAGTCTTCCCAAGGGAGGAAGGCCAGGGGCTGGCCACATCCTATCCCCCAAACCCAGGGTCTACAAGGAGGAAGCAGTAGCTAGTGGCTCCGTGGGCCTTTCTGTTCTAACTTGACCCAAACTGAAACTGCATTGGGAGAAATTAAAATAACTCCTTATCAAGAAATGTCTGGACTCCTTTTCTACCTTATGGGTACAGTCTTTCACAAAAACATCCTAACTACTAAAACAACCATTTTCAAACATTTAAAAATCATCAGTATCACTTTCTTCAAACCATATTTAATGCGGAACCCAAACAAAAAATGGTTATAATAGTATCTGGAGGTTGACAGCACAGGCAGAGGTTATATTATAGAGGCCATAGAATAAAATTAAAATTTGGCTGGCACAATGCAATCAATGTAAAGTAAGAGGGGAGAAGAGGCAGGGATGTGAAACCTGATTTATGTTTTTGAAAGACCATTGTGCTTGCTAAGTGTAAGAGAGTTGAAACAACTGAGAAATTCAACACTTCTGATATATTTTCATAAATCTTAGTAGTGCCTTTAAAGAGTGATATGTCATTTCCAATTAATGTGCAATCACAATAAAGGAGTCACAGAATACCTGATCCTCGCTGGTTAATCCCAGGTGCATCACAAGGTAAAAATGCACCAGGAAATCTGAGTTTGGCAGAACGTCCTGGCGTCTGGTCATCATGGCACAGATCAGCCTGTAGGCTTGCAGTTTGCCTTCCTTATATTCATTTGGCAGTGTCGCTGCCTGTCAAGGAGATGAAGTTTCCAGATTAAATCAAGCCCAGGTGCAGAGGATTTCAACATTTCATTTACTTCTCAGTTTTCCTTAAGAGTTGTTTATGGACACGTGGGATGCAGTGGCTTTAGTAAGACCCAGCCTGTCTTCAAAACATGCAGTCTTGGGCAATTACATTTTTCAAACTCAATTTCGGGAAGGAAGAGGAAATTGCAATAAAGGAATAAACACATATCCACTTGCCTTAAAAAGCCATGATGCAAACATTCTGAGTGGTGGAATCAAAACTGGAGGAGATGGAGAAGACTGGTTATCCAGGCTTATTGCTAGATTGTCCCGTATCTAATTCACAAAGAGGAGAATTTCAGGGTAGGTAATATTACTTTTATCTCAACAGTATTTCAATATTGTCTTCCATGACCAAATAGCTGCTTCCAGCTAAATTTTTATAAGTCAAGTGAAAGCCTGTAACATTTACAAATTTTTCTTTTATCATGAGATTATCCTTTTGAATTGTGTGTTTGGCTCATTGTATGTGGTTTTAGATTTAAATACCAAACAAAGGCATAGTTTTTCCTTGAATGTTAATGGCTGGGGAGGTCCTGAATTCCAAATGATAAGTAATGTTTTAATGAGTTATACTAAACAAACATGAATCATGTTTTTGAAAAAAAAATTTAATAACATAAGAATGTCAGAACCCAAACAAAAATCCGAATAAAAATTGTATGTACTACTCAGAACGCTGAGGCAGGAGAACTGCTTGAACCCAGGAGGCGGAGGTTGCAGTGAGCCGAGATCACACCACTGCATTCCAGTCTGAGTGACAGAGCAAGACTCCATCTCAAAAACAAAACAAAACAACAACAACAAAAAAATTGTATGTACTCTTAAGATTCTACTTTTGTAAAACGAAAGAAGACTATATATTAATATTGGCTATTTCTTTTTTTTTTTTCCCCAGATGATCTTGTTGCAAATATTGGCTATTTCTATGAATAGTGATGTGAATTTTCTTCTTTGTATTTTTCTACATTTTTCAAATTTTGTACCGTACAATCAGTATCACCTTTATAATGAGAATAACTAGAACTACTTAACACCTTATATTTAATATCCTATAGCAATATTCTACTTTGCACTAAGTAACTTTTACAAACTATTCATGTTATATATGATTATTCTTTGATAATCGAATGTACTTTGTCTAAACATACAATTTGTTTCAGAATATGTTCAGTAGTTAACTGTAACACAATTTTTACATTAAAAGATAAAACCATTTTCCCAGATTACAATAAAAAGTAACATAGTAGGACTTACCTTTGCTAGTTTGTACCAGAGTTCATAGAGATAGCAGAAAACTCTGGCATGAATCTTGGGCGACTGAATGTTATTCACATCTCCAAGGATCCCCAAAACTCTTCGCCATAACACAGCAGCAGAGTCTGGGTGCCAGCCAGTGAGGCTCCCCCCAGCAATTATACTACAGTCATCTGCAAGGCACTCGCTGCTATCTACACAGAAAAACATGTCTGTTAACCCTGTAAACAATCTTGATTTCATCATACCTTTTTTCTTTAATGCAAATTACCTATTTGTAAAATTTTATATATTCGAAGCAAAATAATTAAGGTAAAAATGTGAAACAGCTGAGAATTTAAAAGGAGAGAAAACCAGGTTCAATGAAGAAAGATCAGATGGTTTCGATTCTTCAAACTAAAAGAGCAACAATCTAAGAGATGACGTAACAGTTCCTGGAGACCCTGTGATAGGTTTTATAAATGAGGGGGGAGGAAGGGGGAGATCCTTGAACAGCATGGGTGGGAAACAGTGCCATGGGAATGGGTGGCCAGGGAAGCCTCAGTGCCAGAGTAACATCTCCCCAGTGGTGGTGGTTGTTAGGTCGGGTTTTGGGAATAAAATGTGCATACAAGACATTTTCATTCCTTTCAGGTTTAAGGAGTTTTAAGGAATGTATACATTCATGTAACTGTTGCCATAAATTGCCACCAGAATTGAGATACGGAAGAGTCCCATCACTCCAAATACTGCCCCTTCAAAACTGGTCCCCTTCCTTTACTCTCAGTCTCTTGCAACCACTGCTTTGCTTTCTGTTCCTATTGTTTTGCCTTTTCCAGAATGTCTCAAGAATGAAATCCTACAGTTTGTAGTCTTTCTATCTGGTTTCTTTCACTCAGCCATTCAGTTGTGGGTATCAGTTGTCTCTGCTTATTGTTGATTAATATTCTACTTTATAGATATATCATAATTTACCCATTCACCTGTTGATATTTAGATTGGTTCCTGTTTTTGGCAATTACGAATACAGTTGCCATAAACATTCATGTACAAGCTTTTCTGTTAACGTATGCCTACATTTCTCTTCAGCAAATATCTAGGAGATTCCTGGATCCAATCATAACTGTATGTTTAATTAACATTAAACTGAAGAAAAAAACTGTCAAACTGTTTTCCAAAGTGCTATGATGGTCTGCAGTCCCGCGAGCAAAGTATGAGAGTTCCATTTGCTCTATTGCCTTGCTAGAACTTGATACTGTCAATTTTTTAAATTTCAACCATTCTTATAGGCATGGAGCAGTATGTCACTGAGGTTTTTGTTTGCAGTTCTCCAATGACTAAAGATTTTAAGCATGCAGTGACATGTGACTCAGACTTGAAGATGATGCGCAAATGGGCTATGCAGCTGTGTGGGGACGAGCCAGTCAGGGAGAAGAGCTAGAGCAAAGGCTGTGAGATGAGACTGGGCTAACAAGTTCAAGGCACAGCATGTCTTTGTAATATATATTTAATTAAGAAATATGAAGTTTTGTGATTTAGAACAAATAGTTAATGAATAATTTAATGATTTACATATATATCTAATTTTATCATTTAAGTTATAGAATTCTGCCCTTTGGATGCCTGTTGCTTTAGGATGGGTAAAGGCTGGGGAAGACTGAGTTGATTAAGTCTCTACCTTCCTAAAATCATAAGCCTTTGGATTTTTAGAGTAAATGAAAAAGCAGCCAAAGATGCATAGGCACTACTTAAAGAATGCTGTATTATGACAAAAACATTTATCTCATAATATGTATGTAATAATCAACAGAGGAAAGCATTTTAACTGCACGACGTATTTTCTCACTCTACATCCTTCTGACTTCCTTGCAGCATTTAACACTTCTTCCTCATGTCCCTTTTCCACAATTCTATCTCTAGTTGCTTCTAGGACCAAGCACATTCCTCTCATCTCCCGCAGCTCAGTTTTTAAATTCTGGTTTCCGTATCTACAACCTGCAACCTTTGCACAAAGTTCAGTCTCTGTTCTCATGTGTCATAGCCTCAGCCCCCATGTGTTCTATACCTCTTCTCCACTGGCATGGTGATTGAGTAAGCCACCAAAACTTACATGTTGTTTAATGCAGTGCTCAATGTCCAGTCCTCAGCAGCATTTGATTCAGGTAATCATGTCTCCTTTCTGAAATGCTTCAACCATTTGACCCCCAGGTATGACACTCACCTGGTCATCTTCTTTTGCTGGTGCTTCTTCAGCTCACAGACTGGGGACACTGAAGGGCCCTGGAGCTTTTGTTTTCTCTATATATACTCATGCCCTTCTTAATCTCATACAGACCTACTGTATGAGGTTTTTAATATAGATATTGAAATAAATATTTTAATATAGATATTTAAATTTAAATTAATAGGTATTTAAATGCTATACATATACTGACAGCTCAGCATGCCCATTTCTGGCCTGGATGTCTTTCCTCAAGTTTAAACGCATTTCTCCAACAACATATTTGACAGCTCTGCATGCTCAGGACTGAATTAAAGCAGAGTCCACTGCAGGGATGGCCTTTGGTCAGTTTCACTGCATTCCTGAAGAGCCTCAGATATATGTATGTTGAGTATTTTTTTTTTTTTTCCTGGAATTCAAAAGGCTCTCTCCTGCTCAAAGAGTATGTAAACTCTCCTTTAATCCCTTTAACTTCAAGATAGCATCTCTGCACTCAGACGTGCTGGTGACTCCAAGCCAGAACCACCCCCACTAATTTACTTTCACCATTCTCTAGGATGAAAAAGCAGCCGCCCGTGGCAACAGAGCTCTAACTAGTTCTTAAACAGACTTACAAATGGTCTTCTTGTTTCTAGCCCCATCATCACCTACTCCTGTAGCTACCTGGTATGGAAAATTTTCTAACCCTTTTAGAGAACCAGCATTAATTAAAGTCGGGTTGTTTCTTGGCTTTCCCTACTACTGACACAGAATTTAATATTCTCAGGTCTGCCAATTCATTTACCAGAGGGCACCTGTTCTGCAACTTCAAGAAGTTGGTTGCTACTGTCTTTCTCCTGCCATCTTTGTCCTTGTGGATTTATGTCTTAATTAATATAAATCATTTCAATGTGGCTTAGGTAGGGTTTGAAGAATAAGTTGGGCTTTTTGTGTTTGTTCACTCTACTGTCTTTAACTGGATATGCATTATTATAATTTGTAATGTCTTTGTCACTCATTTATCTTGCTTATTTTAAAAGCCACTTGTTTTTCTTATTGTGTAATTTTTGTTGTTGCCTTTAATGCATTTATTTTATATTTGGTACTTTTTCCCTGAATTATTTTTAAAAATAAAATTTATTTTTTAAGAAAAATTTTGGATTTAAAAAACTGTGACAATAATACAGAATTCCCATATACTCCATACCCAATTCCTCCACTATTTACATCTTGCATTCTAATGGAATATTTATTACAATTGACAAACCAATACTAAAAGATTATTATAAAGTCTACACTTCATTGAGATTTTCTTAATTTCTACCTAATCCTTTTTTCTGTTCCAGGATCTCATCCAGAATATCACATAAGAAATAGCTGTCAGGTCTCCGTAGCCTCCTTTTGACTGCGTTTTCGTAGAGCTTCCTTTGTTTTTGATGACCTTCATGGTTTTAAGAAGTACTGCTTTATAGGCTGTTCCTCAATTGGGATCTATTTGATATCTTTCTCACAGATTTTTCTTTTGCATTTGCATTCCTGGAATGAACTTCTCTTAGCCCTGATGTATGATATTTTTCCAATATTCTTCAATTTCATTTGTTTATTTGGAATTTATTTATTCAATGCTTTATTTAGAATTTTTTGCTTATATGTATATAAGTGAGATGGCCTCCAATTATGCTTTTTTTCATACTGCCCTTGTCTGGTTTGTTATCAAGGTAACACAAGGTAGATAACAGAAGTGAGTTTCTTTCTCTTTCTACAGAATGAAATGAAAAAGATAAAGTTTTTTTTTTATGTTAAGGTTTTTTAAAACTAAAAATTTGCCTTTTTTTTTTTTGATTTTTTTTAATAGCATACTTTTTTTTTTTTTTTTTTTTTTTTTTTTTTTTTGAGACGGAGTTTCGCTCTTATTACCCAGGCTGGAGTGCAATGGCGCGATCTCGGCTCACCGCAACCTCCGCCTCCTGGGTTCAGGCAATTCTCCTGCCTCAGCCTCCTGAGTCGCTGGGATTACAGGCACGCACCACCATGCCCAGCTAATTTTTTGTAGTTTTAGTAGAGACGGGGTTTCACCATGTTGACCAGGACGGTCTCGATCTCTTGACCTCGTGATCCACCCGCCTCGGCCTCCCAAAGTGCTGGGATTACAGGCTTGAGCCACCGCGCCCGGCCATACTGTATTATTTCTAAAGTTTATATTGGTTTTGTAGTTGTTCCCTTTTCACCTCCTATATTTTTTTCTTGATCAATTTTGCCTGTTTGTCTATTTTTATTAGTGTTTTTAAAGAACAATTTTTAGTTGTCTTCTATTATTTGCTTTCTAGTACAGGCATGTATGCTTTCAGTTTTATTAGTTCCTTTTTTAACATCTATGTTATTGTTATTCTTTTCCTAATTTTTGAATAGAACACGTTATGTTAATTTATTAACATAATTATTCCCAAAGTTCTCTTCTTCACCCTATACAAGTAAAGTCAAACTGATTTCTAGGCAATTATCAACCCCCACTGGGTGTTATCTTGAGTGTATATGTTGTTGACATTTTTAAGGCCTAATTAAAGAAACCGAAGCACAATTTCTGGATCTGAGGAACTCAAGTAGAGGAATGACAAGGGCAACAACAGGCAAGAAAGAATGAATCTGAAAAGGAGCCAGGGCAGATCCAAAAATGGCTGCTCACTATGATATGCTATGCTTATTAAATTGGTGATGGAAAGATCCCAAGAAACGAAAACAAAAGATGTAATAATGATGGCACATGGTGTCATGGAAAGGCCTTCCCAAACGCAGAAGCACTGCTCCTTCTCAGAGGAAAACATAACTGTATTTCCCACAAGAGTATCATATACTCAACTCAGGAGACACATTAAAATGTGCAGATATAATTCAAACTGCAATTCCCACACACTGTGCCTGAAAGGCAGAGTGTAAAAAGCCTAATTATGGGCCTTCTGGGTTCTCTGACCTTTATAAAGCCTCGGAAGAGAGACTTGTCCTCCTAACTCTATAAAG